AAATCACAAAAGAGTTCCCCTACCGGGTCTGTATACTTCGTGACTTTGTTCCCGGTTACCGGGTCTGTATACACTTCGTAAAAACCCCCCCAACAAAACGCCTCCCCACAAAAACAACATAAACCCACTAACAGCTATCGTCCTTTTCTCTCCTTTTTTACTTGCTACTCTCCTGTGACAACTCTAATCTTCGGCACTTACATAACCTAATTTTGTATTGCAAATGCCGTACAACAACTAAATATGTTCTCACCGAATCCCTCTTCGTCTCTTACCTCCAGGTGAGCCAACAAGGCGTGACCCAGTGCCTGAGCGGGTTCTCTGGCATTGACTTACCTCCCCCTAGAGGTCCCCTGTGGATCCTGGGAGACGTTTTCATTGGCCCCTACTACACCCAGTTCGACATGGGCAATAACCGAGTGGGCTTCGCTCAGTCCAAGCAGTGAGCCCAAATGCCTCAGAAGCCAAATTGTTCTGTCTTCTTTCTGTCTGTTTTGCTCATGAACGGGGCAGTCTGTTGGTTTTTTTTTTACAGCACTTGATCAAACCGTTTTCAGTCTAGTTTAATGAATTGGAGTATCAATTTATTAAAACCTCTTTACCTCTACATATAGACTGATATTTGGTGGATGTTGTTGTTGTTTTTTTGGGTGTAATTTGAATATTATTTTAGTTCTGTTTATCACCCCCCCCCCCTTTTTTTGTTGCCAGTTTTTAAACACTCTCTTAATCGTGTCTTTTCCCCTTAATTTCTCTAATTTGTTTATTATTCAGTCACTCTCTTGAGATTCCCTGTTTCCATGTTTTTTTTTCTTTTTTATGTATACCCACTTTCACCCGACATCCCTCACCTCACCCCCCCCCCTTCCCAATCCCTAAATCTACTCCTTCATTGAGTTGATTGTCATTATTTATTTTCTTTTATATTTTTCTTTTACATTAGTGTTTTATTGTATTCTTTAAAAATCATTTTAAATTATTTGTGAACTTAAAAGGAGTAAGTTCCACTACATTCTTTAAAATCTTGTGTATGTATGTATGTATGTATGTATGAGTGTTCGTACTGTTGACTTGAGTATCCACACTCATTGTTTATGTGCTGTTGTCCGTTATGCATTTATGGATTATAGTTTTACTTTAGGTGCAAGCTCTCACGTGCGAGTGATTGTGAAGCACTGTCGATAAGATCACAATAAAGAAATCCTTAACCTTTGTCCAGCTGTTTTTTCTCTCTTGATTTCAATGTAACTAAGATGGTTGATTGGCGGGTGCTCCTGTGTGGTTTGCTCCTTCTTTCCCATCAAACACCTATCGTCCTTATCTCTCTTCCTTTTTGTGTTTGTTACTCTCTTGTAACACCTCATCTTTGGTAATTGCATGACCTTATTGTGTTGCAAATGCAACACAACTTTTACAGAAACTTAAAAAAACAACAACTGTACCTTGCTGTCTGTTCCCATAGACTTGAAAACATCCTGGACCGTGCACTGTCAAAGCCGCGCTCTTTATTCTCTCTTTAAAATCATCTCTGAATTGGGTCGAACCACGGACGCACAAATGAAAGGCAAAACTCAAGTCTCACTACAAGCGAGTGCACGTGCAACCGTTACCTCTTGCTCTTCATTTGGTCCTGAATAAAGTCAAATGGTGCGCTCCATGGTGGACCAGAATTACGTCACAGTGCACAATCCTGGATATTAAAATACACGTCTGTGTTTATTCCTCATTTACACACGGCAAGAGCAGCCGTTAGCTCAGTTTGTATCATGCTGGGCTATGTTTGATTGAACCTTGTTCAAACCCCAATAATGAAATTTTCTATTAAACTTTTTTTTGTTGATGAGCTTCTATCGCTCACCATACACTAGGTCCGGCGTTGTCCCAGATTGACGTTCGATTTCTGACCAAGCAAATCTATTTTGTCGACAACCTTTTTCATTCTACTGGGATGATGTAAAGCCCCCTCAGCCCGGGCTGACCCTGAGACATACAGTTAAAGAAGCCTGTCTCTTAAATGTCGTTTCGATGGTCGCGTAAAAGTCTTTCAATCAATTATAATTTGAACCCATTTCTCTCGCCTCAGCGGGTGGTTGAAGGGCGCCACTGGTCAATCCTACTTCTTCACATTCTCTCTGTTGTTTCTGTCTGTCTGTGTTTTGATGTTCCTCAGCACTTAATGACCATTATTGTACCAACGGGCTTCTCCTAACTCAGACACAGAAATAACTCGCCTCGTCATACAATGTCTACTTAGAATCAAATAGTGCTGACAGACAACGGTATGGGAGATAACTACCAGAAATCTTCTGTGAGAGACTGGATGGTTGGTGGGCATCCCGTAAGGCCCGTGTCTTCCTCTTCGTTTCAGCGACAACCCAGTCTGTTTATGACCGAGTAAAAATCTAATAGTTCGAAGACACGGATGGCTGGTGCTTCTATAAATAAAAGGTTAGTGGCATGGTCTGTACTTTTACTTTTACTTTTTCATCCTCTGTTGCCTTTAAGCGTCGAGGGGAGATGCAGTTTTCCATGGTAGGCCAGCTCCGCAGCTCTTTCAGTTGTGATGTTATGTTTTCTTAGGGTTTCCTTGACACCCTGGATCCACCTTTTGCGTGGCCTTCCTCTTCCTTTATAGCCTAAGTGCTTGGGGTTGTAGGCTCTCGAGGCTGGCTAGTCATGTGACATGCGTAACAGGTGGCCAAACCATTTTATCCTCTGTCTTTCTATGTAACAGTGGCGTCGGTAGCCTAGTGGTTAGGCTACCGGACTCGTAATCGTGAGATTGCGAGTTCGGGGGTTCGAGTCTCAGCTCGGTCCGACGTTGTGTCCTTGGGAAAGGCACTTTACACGAACTTCCCACTTGGCTCGGTCCTATCGGAGACGAACGTTAAACTAGGAGGTCCCGCCCCTTAAATAACCTAATAGTGTTGATAGGGGCGTTAAACATATACCATTTCACCATTTTCCCCCTATGCAACGCAGGCAGGACTCAGTGCCGATAGCTGCTTTTACTTCTTCATTTCTCTGCCTGTCTCGTCTTGTGATGTTAAGGGTTTTGCGGAGACATTTCATTTCGCATGCGCTGATTTTGCTTTCTTGGGTTTTTCTTAAGGTCCAGGTCTGGCACAGATAACATAATGTTGGTATGAATACTGAGGTGATAAGCTGTCTCTTTGTGTCCATGGAGATGTTAGGATGAGATACAAGGGGTGCGAACTGGTAGGTTACAGCCTTTTTTTTTTAGTTCGCATTTCTATTTTTCTGTCTATGAACCCGTTTTCAGAAAAAGTGCTGCCAAGATATTTAAACTCCTTCACCTGTATCAGTTGTTTACTATTGACATGGATGTTCAGGAAACTATGGTTTCGGCTCACTTTCATAACTTCTGTTTTTGATGTGCTTAGGCGTTGTTGAGTTCGGTAGTGCGATTTTGGAGGCTTTGTTGGTCATGATGAATAAGACATTGGTCGTCTGCGAACAGAAATTCATTTAGGCTTTCTGGGCTTTGGTTTGCGTCTTGCGTTATTGTGTCCATATATATTATAAACAGGAGGGGAGATAGAACGCATCCCTGTCGTACTCCAGATCTTACTTTGAACCAGTCTGTATTGCCTTCCCTCGTTCTTACTGAGCTTCTGCTGTTGGTATTTTGAGCTCTGACATTATCTAACATTTGTCCTCTGACGCCATACTTTTCGAGTGTCTTCCTGGGTTTTGCATGGTTTACTCAGACAAAAGCCTTCTCCTGGTCTATAAAGACGATGTTGGATTCTTTGTTGTGTTCGATTGTTTTCTAGCATATCTGTCGTAATGCGAAAACGGCATCCGTGCATCGTCTTCCCCTTCGAAATCCAAAATGAGCTTAGCTCAGATTTCTCTCTACAATAGGTCGTATGCACTGCTCTAGTATCTTTGCATATAGTTTTCCTCGGTGGCTTAACAATGAGATGCCTCTGTATGTTATTCAGTCGCGTTTGTTGCCCTTTTTTCCATAAAAGTACCACAATGACTTTCTGTCAGTCTTCTGGGCATTTTCTTTGTTCCCAGGCTCTGTTGAAAATTCGCCTCAGCCACAGTATACTGGTGTTTCAACAAGCTCTCATGGCTTCCACTATGATGTCATCTGGTCCTGGGGCTTTTTTCTTGGAGCTGGTCTTGGGTGCCTTTTCTATTTCACTAGGAAGTATTGGTGGATCTGTTTGATCTCTTTATTATGATGGTTGGAACTCTTCTTGTTGTGCGTGGCAAGTGTCTGGGTTGAGCAGTTCTTGGAAGTAATTTTCCCATCTTTTCTTAATTGCATGTTTGCCGAGAATGGCATTTCCCTCATTGTCGTTTATAATGCATGTCGGGTTGTATGGATCTTTCCTTATCTGCATGCTCTTCACACTTTTATAAAATTCTCTTGGGCTTTCCTTGCAGATTTTGGTCAGTTTCTCGCCTTATATTTTCCATGCATTTTCTTCAGCAGTTTTGATGATTCTTTTGGTCTCTCTTCTCGCTTTCCCGTATTCTATATAGTCTTCTTCGGTCTTTGACTTCTGCCATTTCTTGACTGTCTTCTTTTTCATTTTAATTGCTTCTTTGGTTTCATCATTCCACCAGCATGCAATTCTGCCTATGTTTCCACCTATTCGTTTGGTGCCACAGCTGTTTTTCAGTATTTCTGACAGGGATTTTAAAAATATTTGCCATTCCTCTTCTATGTCCTTGATCTTAGGTGACAGTTTATAGTTCTCCTTGGTAATGTCATCCTCGACTGCTTTCTTGGTGTCTGGTTCTTCCAATTTTCTTAGGTTAGTCGTGGTTTTTCCCCTGTTCTTCTTTGTTTGCTCTACATTGTTGGTTGTGAGAGTAAGTATCGCAGGTCTGTGGTCCGTGTCAATGATGTAGTTTCGAACTGCTCTCGAATCTTTGGCCGTATGTCTTTGTTTTCTGCGCATCAGGATGAAATCAATTTGTGATGCATGGTTCAGGTCACTCCATTTGTACCAAGCCTTGATTTGGCTTTGTCTATGTTGGAAAAATGTGTTCGTAATCATCATGTCGTGCTCAGAGCTTAGGTTTAGTATCATTTCTCTATTGCTGTTGCAGTCTATATCTCTATCGCTGTGGGGTCCCAAGTATTCTTCCCAAGGGGTTCTTCTTCGTTCAACACTGCCATTTAAATCTCACAAGATAAATATGTCTTCTTTGTTCTTGATGGTGTTAATATGGTCACTCAGGTCTTGGAAATATGATTGTCTATCTTCCTCTGTATAGCTGTCGTTACAGGGAGCGTGTGTTTGGATGTGCGTTGTTGTTTTGTCACCCTCTATGAGTTTTATGCTCACTATTCTCTCTGAGATCTGTTTGATTTCATAGATTGTATCCATTTTGGCTGGGCGTATGATGAAAGCTACACCATGTTTGGCTCTCTCATTTTCAGGTGTTCCACTCCAGATCAGGAGGTAGCCTTTTTGGGTCAGCTTGCTGTGGTCGCCTCTCTTCCTTATGTCTGACAAGCCCATAATTGCTATTTTCTTTCTATCCATGAAATTCACAATTTCTGATTCTTTGTCTCCAAGTCCGCTGACATTCCATGTGCCTATGTTAATCGTTGTTCTAGCTCGCTGTCCGTTTACTTTTCCTGGTCGTTTTCATTTTGCATCTGTCCGTGTTTTCTCCTTTGATTGTTTCGTAGCAGTAATTATCTGCCGTCGGCTTGCTGGCCAGTCACGGTTTCACCAGAGCCCCTTTAGCCAGCAACGTTTCGGGGTGACCCGGGTCGGCCTTCACGGCTAGCGTAACGCCTCAGTGACATAAAGTCACACCGTACTTCACCCGGACCCAGCTATCCCCTACTTTGTCTTGTTTCCATCTCCCCTGACGAGGACGAAGGGTCTGTTCCTTACCAAATCTGGCCGTTTTCTAGATTACAAAGTAAGCCTCAGAGAAATAACCCCTCTCAATCCAGTTTAAGACCAATTATGCCTCCTTTGACATCGGATAGTTTCAGTTAAAAACAATAATGAACTGTAACTTTTTGTGAATGGTAGCTTCGGTGCACCAGTTTCCATGTTGTTGTTTTTTTCAGTCTGGCTGGGAGACCTAAACTGTAAACAGAACGGTAATGGTAATGTCGGCACGTTACGTTTATGTCTTCTGTTTGCTACCTAGACATGCATGAGTGAATTATGTTCAAACAACGTTGACCTTTCAGAGGGCAAACACAT